TAATATACAAAATCAATTTGGTAGTGCATGATAAATCTGTTTACGGATACCCCCACTGAGATATGGGAAAAATCATATCACTAGCAAAGCCTAAATACAGTCTTTGCCATCTATGTTAATGGAGTCTGTTTATGACTTATCTTGTCTCTATTCTGTACGACTAACTCTGAGATCTGCTTCTTTCAAACTTCCATTTAACCTTTGAGTTTCTCTCTTTCCTCCCTCCCTCTTTCCATCCTTCCTTCTCTCTCTCTGTCTTTCAAAAAAGGAGGCTGTATCACAATTAATAATGATGAAAAAGAGGAGGAAAAGTGAGGCCAGTAGGTAATTTTTTAAGTTAAAAAATGAGTACTGTTTATTCATTATTATCTCCACGGGATGAAGTAATTTAAATCCTTAAAAATCTAAGTAAATCTATAATTATCTATATCCTAAGATTACGCACAAAGGAGTAGATTTGAAATTCTTGTGTGTAGTTTTCTCTCCACCCTCCCTACTCTCCAGATTTTATTACTACTCACCGTTTAAAAAGATAGAATATATATTTTAAAGCTCAAAATAGGTTTAAAAAAAAATTGAATTCAAAGAATTCAAAGGTTAGAAAACAAAGACTATTAACCCCTTTTCTCAAGCCCCAGACTTAGTTTCACTTCCCAGAGACAACCATTATCCATGACAGTTTGTTTTAGCTTTTTTGTGGTTATCACTGTAACTATATGGTAACTGTGTGCCTCAATTTCTTGCTTCATTTATCTGCCATGAAGCATGAGAAATTTAGTTCATTTGTACTTCCACTTTTCAAATTATTATTTATAGCATCAGTGTTAGTTCTGCTTGATATAATTACTTAACTCCCTATTTATATTGATTTATGTAATACCTAGCACCTTCCACCATGCGATGGGGAAGATGAGGATATTAGTGCCTAACCTTGTCCTTTCTGCCAACTCTCTGTCCCCTGTTTTCTCTTTAGTTATATTATTATTCTACATTTTCAAGAATTAAAAATTTCCAGATTGTTCTCCCTTGAAATTCATGACCACTAACTCCAAGGGGGCTTTCCATGTTGCTCAGCAGTATGCTACATTTCCTTACTTAACCTCTACTCTTCTACTCTTCAAAGAAACTCTTTCTCTCCTTTGTTTCTCTTTAGAAACTTTCAACCCCCTTTGTATGCCCTACTCTCAGATGATAACTGTGATACTGAGACTTTCCCACCATGTTTCATTACTTTTAGCTTCTATTCTTTTAAAACTCTCTCATATCTCTTCTCAGATCTTATTGGAGAGAGTTTACAGATGAATATATCAGTCCATTATATTGACAAGAAGCCTTTAGTATGATACTTTTGTCTCTTTGTTAATTTTCATTTATATTTCGTAGTTTACTGTCTTTTTTTATGGAAAGTGTCTGCTATGTATCTTTGCCATTACTTTTCAGGGCACAAAAATCCTTTATTTTAGTTTATGAGTATGATTGGAAATACTAGATTCAAGAATACTGAAAAAAAGACTAAAGGAGCTTTATTTATTTATTCACCAAATATTTGTTGAGTACTTACCAAGTGACAAGTATAATGCTAAACTCTGAGGCTACAGAGATAAATGACCAAAAAGAAAAGAAACAAAGAAAAATTCCAAATCTCAAAGCCTCTCTAGAACCTCACAATCTGCTCTGCCTTCTTGTTTCAACTCTCATACTGTAAACAATGTCCTTTTTGCGGTCTACTTAGTACCACATTTTTGTGTCTTTTGGTGGTGATTTTCCTGTTTAGAATGCCTCCCAAGCATAATGCTGAGATGCTGTCTTGTGTTCCTAAACGCAAGAAGAATATGATGTGCCTTATGGGGAAAATATGTGTGCTAGATGAGCTTTGTTCAAGCATGAATTATAGTGCTGTTGGCCTTGAGTTTAATGTTAATGAATCAACAACTTGTATTAAATAAGATGTCTTTAAACAGAAACACACATAAAACAAGGTTAGGTATTGATCAGCTGATGACAGCATGGTGACCAGAAGCTCATAGGAACCTAATCCTGTGTTTCTTCTAGGAGCAATGGTTCAGTATTTGCTAATTCAGTGTTCATGGTGACTTTGTAGAACATAACTACTGTGAATAACAGAGTCAATTAGATAAGTTTAACCACTGCTGTATTGATGGTACAAGAGTGGGACGAGGCTTATATGTTAAAAAGCAATAAAATTATGAAAACAATTTTTCAGGATATGTGGAGTTGTTAAGTAAGTTTGTTGAGAAAGTTTGGGGATATATTTGAGAATGGGATAAATTTCTTACTACTAGAATTTTAGGTTTGTATTAAATCTTCTTTATAATTAAAAAAACAAATAAACAAAAACAAAAACAAAACTGTTTGCTGTTGAGTGGATTCCGACTCATAGAGACTCTATAGGACAAAGTAGAACTGCCCCATAGGGTTTTCAAGGAGTCGACCTTTTGGTTAGCAGCCAAGCTCTTAACCACTGCACCACTGGGGTGTATAACAATGTAATTTCTTACATTTAGAGTGCAGATTCCCAACCCAAGAAAAAGAAACAATTACGAATTTTTACACACACATCCTGGGTGGTGCAAATGGTTAACAAACTAGGCTGCTAACTGAAAGGGTGGAAGTTTGAGTCCATCCAGGGATGCTTTAGAACAAAGGCCTAATGATCTACTCCCCAAAACATCAACCACTGAAAACCCTATGGAGCACAGTTCTATTCTGACACACATGGGGTCGCCACAAGTCAGAATCAATTTGACAGCAGCAGTTTATATTGATAGATAGATAGATAAAGCAAGTATGGCAAAATGTTATCAATTGTTGAACCTAGCTAAAGGGTATACAGATGTTCATGGTAGTATTCTTTCAATTTTTCTGTAACCTTAAGTATTTTTATATAATTGGAAAAATAAAAAAAGACAGATATTGAGTAGATTTGGATTCTGTATTATACTTAATATCCAGAATTGAAGACTTGAATGTTACTATTTTTAAATCAATGCTTATTCTATAATTTTGTATTATTTTTAAACATTTTGGAATGTTATTTTTTATAATTTTGAAATGTATATTATTATCTATGTGTTAGGCATTATCTCCAATCCTTACAACAATCCTGAAAAGTAAATATTAATGTCTCCATTTTCAGATAAGAGTGGCTAATTCACATTAAGTTGTTTTCCCTTAGTCACATGCAAGTATAAATGTTGATGTTATGATTTGTGTACAAGTATGTTAGAATCCAAACCCTGTGCTTTTCTCACTATATCAACTGAGTCCTATGCTAAAAAATTTCATTTGTAGATTGATGGGCAGGTTGTCTTTTGGGGGTGAGCCCTTTATGCCAATTACAATTTATGAAAACTGATGCTCTTAGGAAAAAACAAAACAAACAGAATAAACTAGTTCTGCTGCTTTTATCGCTGTCTCAAAGTCATAAAAACAAAGTTATCAAAACCTGAATGCTTCTCCAAAATCTTCTAATGCAGGTTCATTGCCTTATTTGGCTTATCATAAGCAAGAAGTAGTATCAAAGTACTATTTCAAAATATATTGGCATTTGGATGTTTCTCAAGGTTCTTAAAACTTTCCACTTTCAAACATGCCTATTCTTATCATTAAGTGGCACTTTTTTCCCATAAGGCAAAGTATCAATCTTTCATTCAACAAATATTTATTGAGCACTTAATACATGCTTAGTACACTATGTACGCATTTTACTGAAAATCCTGTTGGTATCTTAACCACGTTTTCTTTCTCTCAAAGATGGTAACGTTACACAGATTTTTTCTCATGCCTTTAAAATTTTCTAGTAGTAGCAAAATTTTTATTGGATAGTTTACTTAGTGCATTATATTAATATAACTGTCTATTATAAGCCACAAACTAAACAAGGAAGAATGTGTTATAGGTACAGCTCATGGAAATTCACGTTCAGAGCTCTTCAAAGTTATTGATAAAGTTCCCAGAACTCTTTAAAATAAGGGGGCTTCTTGACTTTGGGAGATGTTTAATAATTAAACAATAGATGATATGATTTGTTAGAATCACCTCCAACATGTGCACTTAGACATAATGGTGAGTGTAGAGATCATTGTTTAATTTTTAGATTATTTGAGCAAAGGAATTAGTGCTTGCAATCTTGCTTATAAAGCTTGCCCAAGCATATGAGTGTATTCAAAGTAAAGAAACTTTCTGTAATGGACAATTTATACAAGCTCAGACTGATATAATGAGCCACTGCCAAGATTCTCTTTAACAATAGCCCAGGGATTGTTGAGCTCATTTCTCTACAGATCCTTATCCCTTTAAAAAGACAGTTGTACTCACTGACTGAATACACCTCAACTTGTGTTTGCGTTTACTTATGTTTTTCTTTCCCTTAGAGCTTGAAATGTAAGCTCTGCTTTAAGAAGTGGCTAAGCCTTCCTTCCTCCTGCCTTCCTTTCCCCCTTCATTCCAATCAAGGAGCGCTGCAGAGAGCACCATTGTTAGACATCAAATCTGTGAAGGAGAATTTGACATTCACTCTAGAAAGAGGCAAGGCAACAACAGGTTTTTCTTCTACAGCTACAGTACCTTTGCAAATAGTAAAAAACAGTCTCAGAAATTGTTATGGATTGAATTGTGTCCCCCAAAGAAATCTAATCCATGGTACCTGTGGACATGATCTTGTTTGGAAATAGGGCCTTTGAAGGGAGAACATGGCCTGGCCAACATGTTGATTTGGTCTTGTAGCCTCTGGAGCTATGAGACAATAAATTTCTCTTCTTATAAGCCACCCAGTTTATAGTATTTTGTTATGGCAGTCCTAGGAAACAAATACAGAGACTCAGCAAAAATTGGGAAATAGGCCATTTTTCTTGAAGCATGTCCTTGTCCACCTTTCTGTGCCCTTCCTTCATTTTTAGCTGCAAAGCTTACCTTTTTCAATGTCCAGTGGCCTAAAGCTCCAGATACCTTTAATTTAGGAAGAAAATTTTCAGCTGACATACTAAGTCACATCAAGATATTAGCATGTTCTGTTTTCATAGATATTTGTGTTAATAAAGTGGATACATGAAGAAGGCAAAGGAGCACCAGTGGGGAAGCACTGAGGGTCAAAAGGATTCATTGCTATGCCTTAGTCAAAATATTTAGCCAGTCTTCTACTTGATATTCTTGATACACTATTGAGTCCATCACTAATTATTAAAAACATGGATGGCTGCATTATCAAATTAGGTCACTTCTGGTCAAATACTGGGGAATTGGTTGGTATGTAGGTTGTATAATTTAAGAGAGTCCAGGAAAGTGTCTCTTGCTGTCATTATCTCCCACGTCAGAGAGTGGTGATGAAGGTATTTGATTCTTTGGTTTAGAACCTTTCCTCTTTGAGAGTGCTCAGTTGGAATCCGAATAGCTACGGAAGAGGTAAGGCATAGAGTTATTGCTCTTTTCATCTAAGAATAAATTACTTCATCCATTGTCTGAGTTTAGGTCCCTGCCAGAATGAGAATGAATTAAACAGGCCTGAAAGACATTCTATGGTAGGGTGCAATATAGGGCCTTTGAATAGAGTTCAGAGAGATGGTTGTATAAAGAAATAAGGTCTAGACTTAGCTCTGCTAGTACCAGCTGGGTGTCCTTGGGACAGTCACCTCACTTCTTTCTTCCCTAATTTTTAACAAGAAGATTGGATTAGAATGATCTCTAAGTACCCTTACAGTGCTGTTATTTGGTAAGTCTGTCCGTTTCTGTTCTGACACTTGGTGATCTGGTGAAGAATTCTACATGTCCCATCTAAACCTGTTGTCACTGATTTCATCTTTCATCTTTTAAGACTAAGGAGTCGTATGTATTTTCTTGTACAGAAGTTACTTTACCTCCTTCATTTCTTCAGTTAGTGGCTGTTCTTTGATCCCCTTCAAATCAGTTAAGTCATCTTTCAAGTTTCTTGACCCAGAACTTCTTTTCACTGCCTCAGAGACAAGGTGCATATTAAAGAAACTCAACAAGCCAAGCTGCCTGTTTCACAATGTGCTTCCTTCCTAAAAATGACCAGCATTTTATTGATTCCTGTGACTAAACAGCACCCTAAACTAATATTTTCAAGAACTCATGATGTTTCTAGTGCTCCTAACTGTCTTTGCTAAGGGATGAGTTGCAGGCATTGTTTTATTAATAGAGTATGGATTATTTTTATTTTGATAGATTATGTTGCTTTTGTCCTAACTGAACCCTATCTACTACTATAATGTCTGTGTGCATTGCCCAAGCCACAAATACTGTTCTGTTCTCCTTCTTGCTACCTCCTAAGGCACCAGTACATTCTCAAGAAGAAAATAAGAGGAACAGACTTGCTTCCTCAAAGTAAATAGTGGCTTTTCACCTTCCTTCTCACTTCATGCTCAGGGTGATAAAATGTTAGCAGAGTCTCCAGAAGGCCTAGGATACGTCCGGAATTATATTCCCCAATGTAAACTCTAGGGTTTGAACATTGATATATACAAAATTAGCAAATGGGGTCTGTGGTTCTGGGGCTGGACTGAGGATTTTGGAAAATAGGCCATTTTTCTTGAAGCATGTCCTTGTCCACCTTTCTGTGCCCTTCCTTCATTTTTAGCTGCAAAGCTTACCTTTTTCAATGTCCAGTGGCTTTGACCCTGGTTACATTAGCCTCATGAATCACAGATTGTCTCTGTCCTGAAAGCTCTACTCTTGTAAAAATGACCCACATTTTAATGTTTTTATGTACCTCTGAAGGGAGGAAGCACAGCTATAGCCAATGCACTTTCCCCTGTGAGGCCATTCCTGATGCCACCCCAATGTATTTTCTATGGTTACCCAAGAATTCTGTCATCATACTTTTGGTAACTGTTTTCTCTACTCCTCTTTCAACATCTATCTGTAAGGTCAGTAGAAAAATATGTTTCAGTTATATCTTGAAATGAGAGGAGTTGGTAGTCCAGTAATAGAATTCTTGCCTTCCATGGGGGAGACCTGGGTTTGATTCCCTGCCAGTACACCTCATGCACAGCCACCACCCATCTGTTAATGGTGACTCACGTGTTGCTATGATGCTGAACAAGTTTTAGCGGAGCTTCCAGACTAAGACTAGGAAGAAAGGCCTGGCAGTCTACGGCCAGTGAAACCCCTATGGATCACAACAGTCCAATCCGCAACTGATCATGGGGATGGTGCAGGACGAGGCAGCATTTTGTTCCTTTGTACGCTGGGTTACCATGAGTTGTGGGCCAACTTCATGGCAGCTAATAACAACATCTTTAATTTTTTTTTTTTTTAAAGTAAATGGAACACGAATCCAGAGATGAGTGTGAAAGAAGAAATGCTCAAATCCAACTGGCCCAATTTTAGCAAAAGCAATTTGGCAGAGCCTCTACTTTGGTCATGAGGCCTTCATTTGTTTAATAAATATTTATTGAGCCCTTAATATGTTCCAAATACTTTTCTAGTGAACAGGCCAACATGGTACCTCCTATTTGGGGGGCTTAAAATTTAGCAGAGAGAATAAACAAGTAAATATAATTACATATAAGGAGGAGCTTTAAGAATTCAAGATACACAGAAAATGAACTTTGAAGACAACAATGACAATAGCAAACTCATTGTCAGGCACTTTACGTATATTAACTTATAATCTTCACAGCAACCCTGTGAGCTTGGTGTAGTCATCCCCATGGATGAGACACAGAAACGTAAAGTAACTTGCCTGGGATTTAAACTCCCAGATCTATGGATTTAATCACTCTCCTTATGTTTAAGAAAGTAATCAATTGCAGAATTTAGGAGATAAGTTTTTGGAAACTAGTAAACAGGTAGCAAACCAGCTGAGATAGTAGTGTATAGCTGAAAGCACGTGGCATGAATTCAGGTGGTTTAAATTCAAGTTCCTATCCTCTTAAAAGCTGTGTAAGGTTAAGATTGTTAACCACACTGAGATTTCTTTACATCTACCACTCACCCCCCAAAATCAATAACTACAATACCTGACTTCCTCGTAGGGTTATTGTAGAGATTCTATTCTCCATGATTATATCATTTATTACCTGCTATATGCCAGGAGCTGAATTGTGCCCTAGCACCATTGGAAATTCACACAAGTGCAAGATAAAGGCCCTGTCTTCAGCTTATAACCCAGGTAGCTGAGTCACTTTGGTGAGATAATGCTTATGAAAAGTTTGCAAATGGTATCTATATATAGCATATATGTGGTTTTTGCCTTAGTTTCTTCATTTGTAAAATAGGGATAATAGCTCCTACCTCAAAGGATGATCCTGAAAATTAAAGTACTAAATGCATGTAAATATTTTAAACAGAAATTATTCCTTGGTAAACATTTTTTTAAGTGTTTGCTATCATCATCATTATTATTGGTATTATTATATTATCTCATTACCTCCTATTTTGTTTGCATACACTGGCAGAGACAGTTCCTACATTTCCTGGTACGCCTTGCTGTTGGTTAGATGTGATGTGACTGATTCTAGCAAATGGACTGTGAGAAAAGAGACAAGTGTTGCATCCAAGTCAGGGATGTGAAAGGTCAGTGGGTCCCCTCCATGTTGCTCATTCTCTTCCAAAGTGGTCTTGAGGGCACATGTGGATTGCTTAACTGAAGACAGTTCAGTTAAGAACTGTCTGATCTGTATTGAATTATGATGTGAGTGATAGATAAAATTTTACTGTGTTAAAGCACTGTGATTTCAGGATTTATTTGATACAGCAGCATAGCCTCACCTACGCTGACTAATATACTAAGTATAGGTAGGCCTTTAACCTTTCCCTGCTTCATTGATGTTTCACCGTCAGATTAATTGTCCAGATCCACCTGAACCATTTTATTCCCCTTGCTCAAACATCTTTAATGTTCCCCTTGTTTACTAAATATAAACTCCTCACATTTATATTTAAGACCTTCATAGTGTGGCCGAACTTACTTTTCTAGCTTTATTTCTCATTACTTCTTGTATCTTAAGCACGTTTTCACCAGCTAACCAGTTAAGTTTCTTAACAGCCTCATCAGGACTTTCATGTAGGCACGTTTGCCTTCGTGGGCCCCTTCCTTCATATAGGAGTCCCAGTGGTGCAGTGGTTAAGAGCTTGGATGCTAACCAAAAGGTCAGCAGTTTGAATCCACCAGATGCTTCTTGGAAACCCTATGGAGCAGTTATACCCTGTCCTGTAGGGTTGCTATGAGTCAGAATCAATTCAATGGCAATGGGTTCTGTTCCCCCTTACAAAAAAAAATTATATTTTAAAACTATGTGGGTAAAAATGAATATATTAATATTATATGTTAAAACATTTTCTTCAACCTAAGGGTTTATTTATTTTTTCTGATTTTAAAATCAATTAAAATATTTTTTATAGACTACTAAAAGTATTGCAGGCCCTAGGCACTGTGCTTACTGCACCTAATGGATCATTAGTCCTGGATTCTGCTCATGCTTTCCCGCTTACCAGGCCTTTGTACATGCTGTTCCCCATATCTGAAATGTGTTGCCACACACAGCCACTGTGAAAATTTTATTCAGTTTCTGAGGACATCCTCAAATCTCTTTATTCCTTCAACCTCAGTTTCCTTCCTTCCTCCCTCCCTCCCTCTCTCTCTCCTTCCTTTATTTGCTTCAGGAATATTGTTAAGTATGGCATAAAAAGTTGATTGACCGAGTTGATTTTCTGACTTCCCAGAAAGGGCTCTCAATCTATAGCATGCAGATACAAACATCTCATTCCATGCTACATGGGGAGGGTGAACAAAGCACCATGGGGGCAGAAAGAAGAAAATGATGAACTGTACTGAAGGGAAGGGGTTACCTTCCTGCTTCAGGAAGCTGTCCATCATCTCCACAGCCAGAAGTGACTGCTCCCTCCTTTAAACCCAAATAGCCTGTTACATTTCCTCTGTGGAATGTGTCATACATACCTTGGCTCAAATTGGGCTGTTTTTTGTATGTATCACTGCTGCATTAGTCAGTGAGACCCATTTCACCAAGACCAGTGACATAATTTGTGGGGCCCAGTACAAAATGAAAGTGCAGGGCTCCTTGTTCAAAAAATATTAAGAATTTCAAGATGGCAACAGCAGAGCGTTAAACCAGGCATGGGGCTCTTCTAAGTATGGGACTCTGTGATACCTCAGGTTGCATACCCATGAAGCAGGCCACTATAACATCTTTATGCTTAGCACAGGCCATACACATGAAGACACACTGAAAAAGAATTGTCAAAGAAGTATTTAAAATCTACACGTTACACACCATCATTCCTAACTCTGTTGCAGAAATTAGATACTGTACTGCATGCCCATGATTTACAATTATGATTTTGACAAAGGTAGAACCTCACACTTACCCAAATCTGTTCTCTTGCCTAGTATCCCTTAGCCAAATATCACTCCTCTCCTGCTGCCCTTTATCCTAATATTACTAGGAATCTGGGGAGCTTTGCTAAGAGGCTTGCTTTGGTGTTTGTACACTGGGATCAACTCAGTGATATGTCAAGTACAGCTAATGACACGTTTTTAGAGAAGTGAGTAGCCTCTTTGGCAGCAAGAGAGAAGGCACACCTTGGGATCCAAGGGGCATCTCAGTAAGTGGGTGTTAGAAAATACTTGCTATAGGATTTTAATTTGTGTTAGATGATTTTTGGAGAGTCTAAGGAAGGGGGACTTTGCTTCGGATTGGATATTATTAGGAAGTGGGAGTAATAGTATCACTGGATATTTAAATAAATCTTTAAGGAGGAAAGACTAGATGTAGGCCAAAGATGTGACTGGCAAAAGAAGCAGCACTCACTCCTGTTAGCAGGATAGGGAGATGTTTGGTCATTGTGCATTGGACAATGTTCATGTTTGTGTTCAAACATGATTATAAAGTAGTCTTGTTTTTGTCTTGCTCCGTCATGGTCACAGAGTGGCTTCGTCTAATGTTAACGTGCTATGAAATTTTAGATTCAATAAGAGAACCCAAGACCTAGCTGTGAATGCCTTGATGCTCCTAGCATCACCAAGGCCTAGCTAAGATTTATTCATGAATTTGTTTTTCTTGCCTCTATGGGATCTATACTCTAAGTGGTGTTGACACTTACTAATAACTTAAAGATTGTTGTATTGTAGAATGTCTTAGAAGATTTAAACTTAAAACTTTAAAACACAGTTAATAAATTACATTTTTAAAGTATTATACATTTTTAATATACTAGTTGAGTTGTGCCCATCAAAAAAATTAATTTTTAGTCTCTCAGTGTAGGTTTGCTTTTATACTTTAATTTTTAATATTTTTATCTTTAATTTTCTCTAATATATTGTTATGGTTGAATTGTGTCCCCCAAAAATGTGTGTCAGCTTGGCTAGTCCATGATTCCCAGGATGTGTGGTTGTCCACCATTTTGTGATCTGATGTGATTATCCTATATGTTGTAAATCCTAACCTCTATAACGTTGATGAGGCAGGATTAGAGGCAGTTATGTTAACGAGGCAGGACTCAAATCTACAGGATTAGGTTGTATCTTGAGTCAATCTCTTTTGAGATATAAAAGAGAAGCAAGCAGAGAGGAGTGGGACCTTATAGCACCAAGAAAAAAGTGCCAGGAGCAGAG